AAAACAGTCCAGGGGCACCTTTAAGACCAAGTTTTATTCAGGTACAAGCTCTCCCTCCTCTGCGAGGACAGATCTGCACGTCCCCCCCAATAGCTAGCAATCCAAAACAGTCCAGTGGAGCCTGAGCGGTGGGTGTTGCCTTCTGACACACTTCCAGTGAGGTCAGGGGGTGTGGCATAGGCAAATAAGTTATGCTAATGAGTAATGCTAATGAGCTCCTGCACCTCTTCTTCTAGGAAATGACCCCTGCACGTTTGTCACAAAAGGAGCTGTGGAGACCTCCCTCTCCCAATATTTTATTTGCTTCATTCGTACCCCGCCTCCCTTCCCAAAGTGGCTTACAGCCTTGCCCTCGCCTCCATTTTATCCTCACAACAACCCTGTGAGGTAGGTTAGGCTGAGGGGGTGTGACTGGCCCAATTCACTGAAACTCTGAACCACGAATTGCCAAATAGCGATGCAGCATGTATAGATAAGAACATAAGAACATAAGAGAAGCCAATGTTGGATCAGGCCAAGTGCCCGTCCAGTCCAACACTCTGTGTCACACAGTGGCCAAAAAGTACCAGGGGCCATCAGGAGGTCCAGGAGTGGGGCCAGGAGGACACTAGAAGCCCTCCCACTGTTGACCCCCAAGCACCAAGAATACAGAGCATCCCTTGCCCCAGAGCCCCTATCTATACCTTGTGGCTAATAGCCACTGATGGACCTCTGCTCCATATGCTTATCCAGTTCCCTTTTGAAGCCTTCCATGCTTGTAGCCGCCACCACCTCCTGTGGCAGTGAATTCCATGTGTTCATCACTCTTTGGGTGAAGAAGGACTTCCTTTTATCTGTTCTAACCCGACTGACAAAGATTGTCAATGCAAACTGTTTCTTTGTTTCAGATTAGCGGGGACTCATCAGGTTTGAAAGTAACTGTATAAGAGTAACAACTATGTTTTAAGCATTGTAAAACTTCCATTCTTGGGTTTTTAGTTAGGTTCTTTTTACTTTCTTCTATAGATTGTAGATTCTCTCTCCCCCCCCAATTTCTGTTGTAGTTTTATAGAAATGCAAATACAAAGGCCAGATAATGGAACTGGAAGGCCAGATAACGAAACTGAAGCTCAAATACTTTGGCCACCCAATGAGAAGGGATCACTCACTGGAGAAGACCCTGATGCTGGGAAAGATTGAAGGTCAAAGAAGACGGGGACGGCAAAGGATGAGATGGTTGGACAGTGTCATAGATGCAACGAACATGAA